AAAAGTTACAGACAGACAGACAGACATACAGACAGACATACAGACAGACAGGGTTGAAAGGCGACGGAAAAATGGAAGTCCATTTTTTCCACTTTTCTCGACGTTTCATGCTATTTTAAGCATATTTAAGCAAAAAAAATTTTCCAAAAAAAAATGTCGAATACAATACGGTGACCTCACCAAAGGTGGGCCTCCGTAAAAGTAGAAGTATTGAATACAAACATTTGTCCTACGAACATTTGTTATAGCTAAAAATTTTCTAAATTCAACCGATAATGAAAAAAAAGCATTATCTTGAATTTCATGAACCACATTTATGGTAAATGTTTTCAAATGACAAACATTTTTTATTAAATCTTAATGAGGGGCGTCTGGGCATTTTGTTTCGCAAAGATGTTTTCTTTCGACAACATCAATAACAACAACGTTAACATAAGTCATTACATCGCACCCATGGGCTTGAAATCAATTTAATCAAACGATTTATGCTTCAACGCACTTTATACTGGTAATAACGGATTTTGGATAATTTTAATGTCTCGAAAATTTTCAGTTAAAGTAATGTCAACGAAATAAATTATTCCTCATGCGAAAAGTATTCCTATGTTTGGTTTCGAATTAAGTTCAGCTTTGAATTTATTATGAGAGTCGCCTTATTAATTGCTAAGTGGATATATGTATTTTCTTTTCTTTTCTCCATAAACAAATGACTGCTAAAAAATATTAAGGGAAAAGAGAAAGAATAAAATCTTTCAAGAACCAAATGAAACATTGTAAAATGTTGGTCGGATTCGTGAAAAGGAGTAAATTTATGTGTTTGAGATTCCAAGGTAGATATGATTTTTTTCTTTTCACTTAGATATACAGTGAACTTTCTTTATAAGATTTCTGAAGGGAGTCACCTATAAAGAGCTTCTTCCTATAAATAAATTTTTTGAAAATGTTAATGAAAAAGCTCGTTATCAATCAAGCGTGTATTTCAATAAATATCAAAAGTAATGCATCCTCAAGAACTTTTATACAATTTTCAACAAGATTTGCACGGCTTTCACTGGTATTTTAAATTTTATTATTAATATTTTTTATTTATTTAGAGTTTTTTTCCATGAATCTGCTGCATTTCAACTTGAGGCGTTTCAGTTTATACAATTACTGATAAAAAATACGATGAGCGCGTTAAAGAATGCAAAACTGCATTTTTTTTCTCATTGACTAATAAAGAGAGTACTTTTAATATAAACTCTCATGCTGGTAAAGAACTTTACTTATAAAGAAATTCTTTCTACAAAGAACGAAAATTGCTTCAAAATGTGAATGTGTGGGAATTTAAAGAACTTTTACTCATAAAGAGAAATCTTATAAAGAAAGTTCACTGTATGTACTTATAAAAAATTACCTTTATATTTGACGTACATTTAAGGCTTCAACATTTGAGAGTTGAAAAATAAAAATGTCTATTGCACGGACACTTTTTGGCCTTGAAATTTAAGTTCATAAAATATGCTTTCCAGGCAAAAATGATGAATTAATTCTGAGTGACCTATTTCTACATCGAATCGTTTAAAGTTCTTTGAATATAATTCAATATCAAGTAGCTATCATTATTCTTTTAGAACATTCTCATCTTTTTCTCAGAAGCATTACATTACTAAGTAGGGTTGCTCAAAACCAGCGGAAAAAAATAACCAGCAAACCAGCAGACACAATTCTAGAAAACCAGCGCTGGTTTGCTGGTTTGCTGGTTTTAATGAAAATGCTTAATTTCAAGACAATTTTAATTTTTATTTAATATTATAATAAAATTCAAAAAAAATCAATGAATTTAAATTAGGA